ACCCAAGCTTCCAAACTCTTTGGAAAGTATATCTAAAGCTGTAACTCATACTTCATGTCATAAAAATGGCCGAGGGAAAAAATCAGTTGTTGAAAATCTAAAGCTTATAAGCTTACCTTCCCACTCACTGAAATATTAATTGAGCTGTATGTATGCAACCTGTCAGTGCTGAAACCCTAGCATATACTCATATATTTAAACAACACTCTTTCTAGCAGTATTTAAAATTCTGCATCTCTGTGTCAAACCTGAAAACTCTCAAGCATTTCATTTCCCTCATTTTCATTCTTCCATCCCTATTCTGACCGCTTTTTACCTTTAACATCCATTCATCCAATATTTTGCATAGTTTGATCATGTGAATATCCCGAACAACACAAAACACTGACAATACTCTTTGGTAGACAAGGCAGTCCCAGAACAGTGCAAGCACACAGCTTTGCTCTAAAAGTGTGACACAGGCTAAATGATAAAGACAGTTGATGTCCCTCCCTGATGCAGTCAGAAGGCTCCTGAGAGTCCATCACTTTGAGAATTTGCAGAGGTAATCCTGAAGGAAGTTTCAACAGATTCTTTAGACAAGGATCAGAGAATAACTCTTCATACTTTTCTAGTCTTTGATAATTTCTGTGAAGGTGACTGAAAACACCTATAAACACCTATAAAATCTCTCAGGTAAAAGAGCTCAGAAGGATTCAGAATAGATTCTGAGACCATCTTTTGCTAATCTTACACTCCCCACAGGACCTAGCTGAATATTTACCCTGCTCTAATTTTGAGTACAAGATGCCTCAGTCCCAGAAGTCTCTGCTCTGCTGAGCTAGCCAAAAACTAGCTAGTTGAAAGATGGCTGCCCAAGTGCCCACCAGAAAGTCCTAGGCTTCCTTATATCCTCTTCCCTGTGTAGACTCTGTTGTGGGTCAGGGCAGAAGACAGTTCCTGGGAAAGTAATAGAAAGTGGAAGAGATGGATAAAATCAGACCAAATGAATCAGAACAAAACAAAACTCCATAATAATGCCCTTGGCACATGGCCTTGTACCATGAGAGTTGACACTGGTCATACAGATGCTCACAAGAGACCATAAAAGTGGCCAAAAGAAGTGACATTTGAATCTCTAGAACATCTGTGCTCCTTTCTAGAAGGTTTCAAAACAGGTTGGTAGGACAGTTTTAAAACAGGTTGGTAAGATGGTTACAATAATTAATACATTTCTTTCCTCCATTAGCTTCTTTTAACAATGCATTTCTTTTATCTTATACTTATAACTTCTTACATCCCCTCCAAATCAAGAAGTTGATCTGCTTGGTTTGCAAGTCTACTTCTCACTTCTGTTCTTAACCAAGAATAAACATCTGTTTCATTGCTCAATCACTTCTTGCTGGCTGTACAACTCTAAAAAGGAAAAAGGACCCAGTTTGGGGTCACAAGTTGGCTTCAATCTTGGACTTTTGGTCTTCCTCCCCATGTGTTAATCTTTTTATTTACAAAGAGATCCCAAGGAAGGGTGTCCATGACAATTGCATTCCTACAGAAGGAATTTTCTCTCAAATATAGAAACTTCAGAGAAAATCCCCACTGCTTCAAAAGGGAAAGAACAAGACAGGGATGGGAGATCAGTGTGGTCTGGATTCTCCCACTGTTCAAAGAATTCAAGAAAGCTGGGTGTGGTGGCGCATGTGCCTAGAAGACTGGGCCAGGAGCCCACCCTGGGCAATTTGGCAATGTCGTGAGACCTTGTCTGACAGTGGAGAAGGGCTGGAGTTGTGACTTAATTCAAGGCTCTGGGCTCAACCTCTAGTAACACAACCAAAACAAAACAAACCAACAAAAAATATGCCAAACACCGAGCATGCCTGTCATCATACATAGAATGTCATTTGCTGAGACCCAACAGTATTAGAGTCTAAACTCAACTTGTGAGAAAACAGTGGTTTCACCACTTGGTGCAAAGCCCATAGCTGTAATGGGGAGGCAAAGGAGTAGGGAGGTTTGTTACTCCAAGTAGGGAGAACACTGAAGTTACTTTGCAAAGCAGTGTCCTTCCACAAAGCAAAGCAGGATGCTCTTCCAGAAACAACTTTGCAAAGGTGCAAACAGCCTTCCAAGTGCCAGCAGTCCAACCCTTCCAAGTGCGGGACCTTGCCCTGTAAAGTGCCCATGTCGCCTGGCAGCTAACTGCTATCTGCTTGACTTACTAAGCCCTGACTTTTTTCTCATGTTTACAAGAGATACACATTAGTAAACTTTCCTTTGTTTTGCTTTTCTTTTTTATAGATAAAATTATTATTATTATTTATTCATTTTAATGAGAAAAAGATAAAATAGCAATGAAACAGTTTCAAAACAGGTTGGTAGGATGGTTACAATAATTCATACATTGCATATTGTTGTCTTCATAGTAGTTGTTCAGAGGACAAGATACTGACATGATATCTTGTCTAAACACTATTAGTACAAACTTTTATTCTCAACGAACTAAGAAAAATACCTGTATATCTATCCTAACTCTCTTGTGCATACATATATATATTTTTCTCTTTTTTTCACAACAAAATGGTCCTTTATTTACACTTTAGTGAAGTTAGTAATACATGACAGTAGGTTGCCTAGCAACTGATAGCTAACCTCAACCAGACAGGATGTTCCTCTCAGGAGTGAGGTAGCTTGTTTGCTTTAGGCACTGAGCCAAGTCCCACCTACACATATCTGATCAATTTCCTAGCTTCCTGGCTCCCAACATATCCCCCTTTTTCCTTTTGTTTTGTCAGAGATGGGTGTTCTACTGCAATTAGAGAAGCTGTGTTTGGAGAAGTCTTTAAAGGACCTTTTCATACTTGAAGCCTGTCTAAAGATTGAAGGTACTAGAATCCAGTGAAATAACCTGATATAGTCCAATAGTCCATAATACTGCTTCTAATGTCATATCAATTATTGCTATACTCTCTTTAAAGTAAATGTTTTGCTTTTCTTAATCTGATTTTTGTTACATCAACCTGAAGCAAGAACCAAGAAGAGTGGAAGGAAAATATTTTTCCTTCTCTATAACTGCATGAGGAGAGCATTTACCAGGGGCTGGGGAGATGGCTCAGTGGAACAAATGCTTCCCTGGTAAGCGGCAAGGGGGTCCCAAATTCAAGGCCAGGATGGGTAACTCACCAAGACCCTAGCTAGAAGTTACCCAAAAAAAGGCTAGAAATGTTCTTCAGTACTCCCTGTGTTGTCTCCTGAAACACACACACACACACACACACACACACACGCACACACACACAAACAATTGCCAAATGAAAAAGAAAATTAGTGTCTCCAAGCTCAACCGGTGATTTAAATCTAATCTCTTTTGAATCTGGTTGATACGGATCACCCCCTCCTTGATACCAACTCATCCTGGAGTTTGCTCAAAAATTGCAAAGCTGAGGAACTGCCCTGGGAACACTATGATCCACCGAGACATACTGGCTACTGACCGAGGGTGCAGGCCTATGTGTGCAGTAGCATAACTGAAAATATTGATTCCCTGGTCTTTCTGTATGACTGCTTCAAGGTCAGCATCATGCAACATTGCCGCAGACCAAAGAACACAGGATACTTGGGCGCTTGGGATTTATCTGCCGCTCTGCCCCAAGCAAAGTAGTAAGGAAAGAATCATTTTTTTGACTGTTTCTCTCCCTTACTTTCCAAAAACAGTTCATGTGGACTCCACCTACATGAGTCTCCAGCATTTTCTTCTCCTCTTTACGTGCTTATAACAAAATGTCAGCTTCATTCTTAAGGAGTGTAATCTTTACAAATTTTCTAATATTACCTTTATTTTTCTTCCAAATGGAAATAGTTATTATGAGATTAACTCTTCTTTTCTTTGTGTTAGTATCTTCTACTTCATGTTTTCTTCTGTAAGGCAGAAGAAAAAATGCCCTAACTCATTTAAGATGAACTGGCACTTTTAGAAACATTCTTAATGCATAAACCCAGGAGCTAATAGGGGCCTTTGTCAATCTGTGGTTAAGAGAGAAAGTGTTCTTTCTGATCTTGCTGTCTAGAGCTTCCACTCATATGACACCCCACTTTATATGGCTTGTGTCTAGATGGCTCCCAAAAGCTTCATGCAGTCCTAGTGGGGCTTTCTCAGCAATGGCTGGATCTAGAGTGTATCACACTGGAATTGATTCAGGTTGCAATGCTGGATTTAAAGGAATTAGGATTAAGTGTGTGCGTGCTACCCACTCTAAGTAATCTGGATAAGATAAAAGAGGCAGAAAGGCACAGCTAAGGTCCCTTGTTGCTTTTGCTACCTTGTGGACACCATGAACTATTTTCTGTGATGCCTGTTTGCCAAGCTGTAGAGCCAGCTAGCGGGCTGAAGCCTCTATAAACTGTGAGCTAAACAAAACTTTCCCACTTAACACTGGGAAAGTGTCAGGTATTTCATTTCCACAGAGAGAAAAGTAACTAAGACAACACAGAAGTTTTATATTAAACCCCCCATGTTGCCAGGTGGGGTGGTGCTTGCTGCAATCCCAGCATTGTGAGACTGAGGCAGGGGGTTGCAAACTCAAGCCCAGCGGGGGCAACGTAGTATGTTAGCAAGACTCTGTCTCAAAAAAGAAAAAGAAATTGAAGGCTGGGATGTGGATGAGAGTGAAAGCCCTGGGTTCAATTTCCAGTGTCTGTCCCCCACCCCAAAAAAAAGACAAACAGAAGAAAAAAGCCTAAACATAGCCAAAATTAAAAAACCAATCTGAAGGATGGGAAATAAAAAGCAACTGTTGCCCTACCCCTCATCACAGTGGAACCAGGCTTTGCCACCACATTCAATGCCTCAGTCATAATCTGTCTCCAGCTTAACATACAGGCAATCACATGCCCATAGACAGATAAACGTATCACACACATTTACACCTACAGGTTAAATGCACCTTAAACCTGTGCACGACTTTATTCGTTATACTTTGTGTTACATCATGCATATTGCTTGTTACCAAAGACGCCATACAAACTCTGCACACAGTATATATTTATATTTTGCATATATTAGAACAACATAAGTCATTTACAGAAGAAAAGATGATTCAGGTTCTGTGAGTATAATGACAATAATATCAGGAAATGTCCAAGATTAGTTGATAATGTTGAGTCTTTAAAAAAATGTCTGAGTAAGTTAGGTAAATTAGGACAGAATATTGCTATGCAGAGAATAGACTAGGTCATTCTTGAGTAGAGTCAAGAAAATACATTGGTAATTTAGGAGGGTGAGTCAGAAGGATTGGGAGTTCAAGGCCAGCCTAAGTTACATAATGAGTTCAAGGCCAGCCTGAACTACATAGTGAGACACTATCCCAAAAAGAAAAAGAATGAAAGAAAATGCGTACTGTATAACTCAATAATTGGGAAACACTGACACAGAAATACATTGTGGGGGTTGGCCAGAGCAGTAGGCAGGGACCACTACTTGAGACCACTGATTGCCAAATCTTTGGGACAGGGTAGGCTTGCTAGATGAAGATGTGCTGTATGAGCTTCGTGTCTTCTATGCTGTCAACATACCCATTTAGATTACAGTGGAACTGAACATAGCTGTAGCTCCTGCTCTCTATGTAACTATTTGTGCAACTCTCCTTGTGACACTTGAGTACTTTCATCGGCATGTGAGCCCATACATACACATTCCTATAGCGGTCATTCCAGTTGCTGCTGTAGCATATCTGATCCACTTTGTACCATGGGGTATAAATAAACAGGTGAGAAATCTTGTTCTTCAGAGCTGCTGTTTCTGTCATGAGGATATAACATTTGTATTCACCGAATTCTTGGCGTGGGCTTATGTAGTGCTCCTCCATAAATTTCCTCCTGGAAGTGTCTTTGCTCTGCACAAGTAGCCTGCATTGGAGGCACAGGAGGATCAAGAGAGGGACCCAGACCTTCCGAGAGGATGCCATCTCAGTCACCAGGGCCATCTGTGCACGCACAGGGAAAATAAATATTCGTGAGATAATGCCCAGAGGGCTGACTTCTAATTGAAAATTTGTGTCCTGCATTTGAGCCTAATTTCACTACAGTATTTTGTTCTCAGACCAGGAGACAATAACTCTCACTAGACCATCACATTAACAGAAAATAGAATTGTTGCAGACTCAGTCGACCCAGAACAAAATTGGAAAAAAAAAAAGTAGATGGAGTTTATTTTGAGAATTGTAAACATTTCCTGTCTGTCCCTTCTCCCGCTTGACCTAAGGAACCTATCTCCTTTAGCTAAATACTTTTCCTCAGTTTACTCTGAAGAGAGCAAGTGTCTAAAAGCAAATGGTATTTCAAAGTTTATGTCTGCAAAGTGGAAAGGTTGATTATTTTTCCAAGGAAATAGTAGATATATTCCTTAAAGTATAGTAGTTGAGTAATTACTTGGGACGCATTTCCTAGGCTGGAAGGCTTTGGTACCTGAACTCACAGCCCAGGCCACAATTACCTTGGTGGTGTATGATGGTATTTCTCTGGCTTGACTGCCATATAACATTTCCTTAGGACCTGGGTGAAACACTACCACTTCTAAACCAACTACCATATTCCTTCTTATTGGCCATTTCTCTGTTGTCATTATAAATGATCCTGATTTTAGCTGTTAGTTAAAAGTATCATGGTAAAAGGACTTTAGGATTTTGCTTGCCTGTGTGTGTGTGTGTGTGTGTGTGTGTGCCCACACGTGTGTATTTGGTGGTCCTGGGGATTGTACTACACTGAGATACATCCTCGGCCCTTTTTTCTTTTTCATTTTGAGATAGTATCTCATTAAGTCCCTAAGTTGCTAAGTAAGGGCAGGGTCAATCTGTTATCCTCCTGCCTCAACCTCCCAGGCTACTGGGATTCCTGGTGTCAGAACTCAGATGGAACTCCAGTATTTAAATAATCCTCCAGTCAATCAAGTACCAAAACTGTGAGATCAACTTTGGCTGCAGAAGAGTGTCACATTGTTTGAAAAAGTCTCCCTCCCAAAGTAGACCTCTGCCCTTGTATACATGAGCAGTGTACTTGGCCCTGTTGAACTTCTCACTGCATTTGCTACTTAAATATTGAAGTTCTCAAATAGGCCTAATAGTGACTCTATTACAGGACTGGAAGTCTACTAATACGCACATAGGATTTGGAAGGCTGAGGTTGGAAGAGGGAGAGGTAGGGAAGGTGTCACTTCTCTAATTAATTCTGAGTTGAAATTATGGCCTTGTTTTCTGTGGCTTACATACAATTTTTCATTCTTCTCTATCTAAAAGATCATGCAAGCTCTTTTCCAATGTTTTTCTACTTTTCAACCAAATGTCCTATGTTAATACTAAACATTCTATGCGCCATCCTATGTGACAGCCGCTGTAACTCACCTTACTGAGATTTGGCATTCATATCAGAGGTTGTGGCAAGTGAGTGGATCTGCAAAGCAGCCTCTGTGTCCCTCCCTCAGTGTCCAAGAAGGCTACAGCAGTGGAGGAAGGAATGACAGCAGGAGACAGGGACAGCACTTTATGATGACTTCTGGGGTGGTGATGTGGAAAAAAGGACCAGGGCATCTTTTTTTCATGAACTCATTCATATCTCATTCATTATATCTTCTCATGTGGAACACTTGGGTTCACTCTGAGAATAGCCTTAGGCAAAGGTTTCAAAACATTAAAGAATAACTTGATTCCTGGGACAAGGGAATCACAAGGCATTTGAGAGAGGCAGCCCCAGACAGGGGTCATCAGTAGTTTATAAGAAATAATCAGAAATTTGGTTTCTAAACTCATTTCCTAAAAAACTTCTGGGGAATAATCTATGAATGACTGGGCTGTACTCTATGAGAACTTCAGTAAGGCAAACTACTTCCAGAGACATGAACTGTGGGACCTTCATGGAGAAGTGAAAGAGTATCTAGTCAGGGGCCCGATGTACTGATAGAAAGGATGCGCTTTCTAGAGACAGTTTCTGTTACGGTTTAGATCTGTAGTTCCCCCCAAGTCTCATGTGTTCAGAAATGGGGCTTTTGATGGTGATTGAATCAGAGGACACTAAATTCATCAGGGGATGAGTTCCACAGCTGAAAGTACACGTGGGAGTGGGGCCTGGTTGGAGGCGGGTCTGGATGGTGTGGCCTGCCAACACTACTGCCTCTGGTTTCAATTTTTTCCTTTTTTTTCTTCTTCCTGGCTGCCGTGAAATGAGCACCTTCTCTCTGCCCCGCCCACCCCACCCTGCCGTACAGTGCTGCTTCTGCTTTGGAGCCAGCCAACCATAGACTTAATTCTTTTTTTTTTTTTTTTTGGTGGAACCAGGGATTGAACCCAGGCCCCTGCCCTTGCCAGGGAAGCACTTATTCTACTGAGCCATCTTCCCAACCACATAGACTTAATTCTTAAAAAAAAAAAAAAAAGAGTCAAATTAATTACGCCTTTTCTCCTTTACATTATGGGTGCTGGGTGGTCGCCACAATGGTTCCACTGCCCTGGCACCAGTGTTCTGTTAGTCAGCATTCCCACTGCTGGAACGCAATATCTGACACGCATACAATTTAAGGGGGCAGGTTGGATTTGGCTCACAGTTTTAGAGGATTCAATCCGTGATGGGCTGGCTTCAAGGCAGAAAAGGACGTGGTGGATAGGCAGGGTGGCGGAAAACCATGTACTTCATGGCAGCTGGGGGTTGGGGGGGGAGGGAGGGAGGGAAAGTGGAGAGAGTAGGGGAGAAGTAGGCGAAAGAGGAGGAGGAGAAGGAGGACGGGGAGGGGAAGGGGAGGAGGAGGAAGAGGAGGAGGAGGAGGAGGAGGAAGAGGAGGGGAGAAGCCAAGGACAGTAAGTACCCTTCCAGATCACACCTGAGTGAACCACCTCCAATCAGACCTGTATCTCCCAACATCACATCCAGGTATGGACTCATCAATGGGCTGTGATGAGTACAGTGATCCTGTGATCCAATCATCTTCCAGTGTCCCCCCTGAAATGGACTTTGACAAGACAATTTAGATCTACACTACTGCATTCCCATCTGAGCTTCAAAAAGTTCGTGTATATTCCATTACGCAGAATGCATTTAGTCCATCTCTAGGAGTTGCCAAAGTCTCAAAAGCTGCAGAATCACTGAAAAGTCTAAATCCAAACTTGCCTCTGAAACTGAAGGCAAACTGGCAACTATGAGCTCTTGTGAAAATGACATCAGTGACTACTTCCAACATACAATGACACAGAGTATTCTAAAACAGAAGAGCAGGGGAATAGAAAAGAATTGAACCAAGGGGGAAAAGTCCAGCAGAACAAACACTAAATTCTGTAGCTCTTTGTCCAGCACCAGGGCCAGGTATGATGAGACATGAGCCCCAAGTGGCTTGCAAGCCCTTCTCCTACAGCACTGCTGCTTGGGGCCACCTTGCTTCTCTCTTGGGTTGGCTGCACGCATAGCCTGCAGCTTTCCTCAGCAGGTGCCCCCACTCCCAGGCCATCCAACTTCCTGCGGTGCCCACGGCACACTTGGCTCCATGCCTACTGATTCACTCACTGCCTCTCCAGGGACCATTAATGGCTGTGCGTCATCTTGCCTGGATTAAGGAAGGCCTGGAGCATCAATAAAGCGCACTTCTGGATGTGTCTGTGGGATGTTTCCAGATATGATTGCCTTGTGACTTACAGAAAATAAAAGGAGGAAGTTGGTGTGTATTTGAAGAGCTCCACTCAGCCTGAGCAAGTGCAGCTTTTGTAGCCGTGGCTGTGGACATCAGGCGCGTGTCTTCAACCTTACAATGCACTCAGACCAGTGACTCTCCAGGGAGCTTCCAGGCCTTTTTTTTCACACTGGTGCTGCATCCTTGATCCTTTTGTACCACAGCTTTTAGCTTCTTAAACTGGACTCCTGAGCTCTCCAGTGATCACATGGGCATGTGGTCTTATGTGCTTCTTTTTTTTTTTTTTTTTTTTTATTTATTTGTGTGTGTGTGTGTGTGTGTGTGTGTGTGTGTGGCCAGCTCAGCTCAGCCCACCAGGGGGCGGGAGCTGGCATGTGGTGCTGAGGGATTGAACCGCGGTCACCTGTGCTTTAGCTAAGCTTGTTTTAAATAGGTGCTTTAGACCACTGAGCCATCTCACCAGCCCCTCTTATATGCTTCTAATTCAGTAAATGTAGCTGATAAATTCACTTGTAATTACATATACACATTTATAGTCATAATATACATAGCACATAATATACAGTGTATATAATATGCAGCATATTACAAATATAAAGAAAATATGTGTGTACAATTATGTAAGTGGACTTATGTCATAGATACATATATTATAATGTGTGCCATATGTGTGTTTATTCTATTGATTCCTTTCCTGTAGAGAATTCCAACCAATATATAAGACAACCTGAAATTTCTCACTTGGCCACCCTGTTACTTCAGTGTCAAACTGTTCAGGTTATTGCATAAATTATTTTCAGATTCCATCTCATGTCAGGGGTTCCCGGAACAGCAGGGAATCATGCGCAATAGGCCGGATTGAGGTGCAATTCAGAGTGCACCCTGAACGTTCTCTTGCACTCTTGTTCTTTAGCGGAGCAGGGAGAGGACCATGAGAGAAAGGTGAGAGTATACACACACACACACACACACACACACACACATCTACAGTTCTTGCTATTGAGATTATGCTATCTACTGATGACTTAAATTCAAGTAGTAAAAAAAAAAACAAAAATTCAAGTAGTGATTTAATGTAGACAGGAGGGAGAAGTCACCTGGACCAACACTTGAAGAAGCTAAGAAAGGTATTTATAGTCTTTCAAGGCATCATATTTTATGGTATATTATAGATCATTAGTGCGTATTTTGAAAATTTTTAAAAATGCATATGAAAATAATTTTGAATGATAATAAAGTGTTGTACTGGTATCTGCTGTTGGTAATGTTACTATGTGTAAGATTGTTCTGCCCCAGACAACACTAGTTTCAACTAGCTTTGGGTTTTGCATAGCACAGTGGGGCAACTACTGGTTAAAATCATCTACGATATATTTCACAATGACTAGAAAAGAAGCATTTGAAATTCTTAGCATGGGAAACATCTCTTATTTTTAGAAAGTTTAAAAAGCCAACATGGAGACCATTATTTTCCATCAAGGCTCCACTTCACTGCAACACATGGATGCCTTGATCTCCTGTGGGCCCTCGCACGCAGCACATGAGGATACAAGGGGCGTTTAACTATCGGTCATATCACAATTACCAAAACTGGAAGTAAAATACTTAGAATTTCACAAACTGACCTACACTTAGAGTTAAAATACATAGAAGAGGGCTGGGAAGGTAGCTCAGTGGATTAAGCACCTACTTAGGGAGCACAGGGACGGGATTTGATCCCCGCATGACCCTGGGGACAAAGGTAAAGATCTCCCTGGAAGCATCACTGATCAACCATTCAACCACTTCTGGGGTGGACTGATCTTATTTTAGTGATCAAATCTTTAGCAATCATGAATCTGTGTCAGGAAACAAAATGAACTGTTCTTCCACAGCTGAGCAGTGAGGAGGGGCAGAGTGATAACATGTCAGGCTAAAAATACATGAAATTTGTTGTTGAATTCAGTTTTTTGTTTCATGGGCATCAGCTATCATTTCAAAGTCCTAGATTGGCTTTCACAGCGAGCACATTGGCCAAGCAATGGCTGTGACTCATCCACATGGCTGACACTGATAAACATTCTGAGGTACAGGATCTCAGGATAAATCCTGAGGGGATTTCACTGACCTTATCAGACCCAAAAGCTACAACTTTTTGCATAGGTCCTGCTTTACCTTGGTCTTAACCACCCAGCAGAAAAGTATAAAAACAAAATATAAGAAGTAAAGCCATGCTGTTATGTTGAGCTGTAGGGGACTCAGGTCAACAATTTCTGACATTGCCAGTGAAGCAGAAGACCCAATACTATTATGGACTACTGGACTCTTTTAGATTATTTTGCTGAGTTAACACACCTATAATATTCAAATAATGGAACGTAACAAAGAAAGGGTATACAGATGAATGTCCATTTTGTATCTGTGTATTCAAAGTGGTTAGGATAGATATATAGTTACATTCTCTTAAAGAATAGAATGATTTGTTCTAATGGTGTTTGTAAATAGGATATCATGTCCGCATCTTGTACAGCAATTAACCACTGGGAGGAATGTATGCAGTGTGTTAATTATTGAAACTGTCCTACCAATTTGGTTTGAAACTGTCTCATTGCTATTTGTTTATCAATAAAATTATGGAAAAAAAAACCAACAAAGTCCTGGACTGGCGTGACCCAGTAGTGACATATCTGTGGAAATTTGATAAGTGACAAATACAAAATTTAAAAGCACAAGACAGAATAAAAATACAGCAATATTAGAATTGCCAAATGGTTTTGAGCCACAACCCAGAGCTAAAGATAACCAAATTACCCTGTGGACTTACTGGAGTCACATGCCTGTTCTCATCTTTTGTTAAATTGGGTCTCAGATTCCCCAGAGGAATGTATCCAGGGTACTGTGGTGGATTAACCAATGGTC